AAACTTGGTGGGGGATGCCATTATTTAATTCCCACTTCCTCCAGCTCTCTAAAGGAAGGAAGGAAGAAGGGAGGAAGGGAGGGAGGGAGGGAGGGAAGGAAGGAAGGAAGGAAGGAAGGAAGGAAGGAAGGAAGGAAGGAAGGAAGGAAGGAAGGAAGGAAGGAAGGAGAGAAAAAGAAAGGAAGGAAGGAAGGAGAGAAAAAAGAAAGGAAGGAAGGAAGGAAGAAAGAGAGAAAGAGAGAAAGGGAGGGAGGGAAGGAAGGGAGAAAGGAAGGGAAAAGGGAAAGAAAAGGAAAAGGAAAGGAAAGGGGGGAGGGAGGGAGGGAGGGAAGGAGGGAAGGAGGGAAGGAGGAGAGAAGGGAGGGAGAGGAGGAATTCCTTGCCTTTTTGATTAAACGTCCCGGGTCGGGCCTGCCCAGTTAACAAGACCGTTAATTAAGCCGAGCACGATTCAACTGACAGGAAGGCCCTGCGCCCCGCAGAGATGTTCTGGAGACCAAGCAGTCCACGGCCCAGCGCCAGTGGGGCACACCAGCCACGACGTCCCCGCCTCCCAGGGTTCCACGCAGGCCGGGACACTCTCCCTGCCTGGGCTCCGGGTCGTTCTCAGCCGGCCATCCCCCAAGGGTTCCCCAGAAAATTCACCACTGGCACCCCATCCACCCCCCTCCCACCCCCGCCATCCCTCTCGCATCCCTGCCCGGATGTCTAGGCCTGAGCACCCGTTGCGCCCCGCCGGCGTCCTCTCTGGCCCGCCTGGGAGCGCACGGTCCCGAAGTCCTCGGGCAAACCCGAACTGCGGAGGGCAGAGGCTGGGCTCGCTGGTTCTCGCCAGAGCGCCACACCAGCCGCTCTCCTCCCGCCTCCAGGCGGCGGAGCCCAGCCTTCACGCCCGCTCCTACTCGGGGGCCCGATTCCTTCCGGCGGCGGGCGGTGCTCTGAGGCGCTGCGGGACGCTGAGTGTGTATGCGAGGCGCGGCCTATATTTACACCCCAAACAAAATAATTACACTTTTGTCGGAGGGAGAAAGCCAGTGATTAGGCGTAGGCTCTTTGCGGCAAAACAGTTTCTCAGTGGTACACCAGTATAATTTTTCACGGCTGGCTGAAATCAAAGAGGGGAGGTAATGAATCCGGCGAGCAATTTAAATTTACAATTTGTAACGCCGCCGCCGCCGCGCAGACCCGGCCGAGAGCGCAGCTCAGAGGCACTCGCTGCGTTTGTTTAATGTTAAAGCCGCGCTGGATCTTGGGGGTGGGGTGGGGGGAGTGTGCGTGTTGGGGGTGGGAGCGGTAATGATCGAAGTCGGGAGAGGACGGGCTGGGTCGCACAAGATGCCACCAAGAGAAGTGGGCAAAGCGCGCGCCTCTCCGGTCCCCCCAGTCACCCGGGCCCCCAGCGCGCGCATTTTCCAATAAAGGGTGCCACTCCCGGCCGTTCGAACAGAGGAGATGCCTTAAGAGGAGCCAGGAGAGAGACTGGCGGCCAGAGAAGACCCCCATTCCTGCTTGGCTGCAGAATCTCCCAGGCCGGAGACTTTCTGGTGAGGAATAGGGAGGTGCAACTGAAACGACCTCTTCAACCCGCGGGAGGGTCAGCTCCAAACGTCCGGAAGAGCCCTCATTCCGGCCGCTGCCCGTGTCCCGAGCTGGAGAACTCAAGAGAGGTATCACCCATGCCCCAGCTCAGCGCTCCTCAAAACTCCCACCCCAGGCTAGTGTGCGCCTCCTCGCCCGTAATTAATTACCGAACTCAAGGGGGAATATGCAAACCGCATATTACTAACTCTACAGGGCTTAAGTGATTGGAAACAGATTATTATCTTGTTTGTCTTTTGTCTGTTTTACTTATCCCGCCGCCGTCTGTCGAGTTGTAATGTTGATACTCTTTACTCTAGGAGGAAGATTTTTATATAGTAAATTCCATCAACATCTTGTATAAGTGACATTGCATCTCCATGCATTACCCTGTTAAGACACAAGCGGTTTATTAGTTACATATAGGAGGGGATTTCGCTGCCTGGTCGCCATCTGTTAGCGCTGTTAGGGTGGGATGCGTCTAATAGCTGGTCTGCTGGCATTTTCCAATGCTGTGCACTGGGGAAGGTGGTGGGCTAGAAAAGGCCGAGTGGGTTCTGGGCAGCTTGGTAGCCCAGGTCCAGGGAGTTCTGGAAGTGGGTCTGAGCTGTACTGAGGGTGAGGCCCCCAACGCAACTCTGGGGGGCTGCAACAAGGACAGGATCGGTAAGTGCCCCTACAAGAGATGGAAGGTCAGACCAGGGCTTCTGGAAACAGAGTCCTCATCTCCTGCAACCAAATATTCAGCCCCAGGTAACCCACACTCATCCCTACTCAGGGCTACTGTCATTTGTTCCCTCTTCCTACGACCTCCCTGGCCTGGTCACATGGTGGCTGGGGCTTGGCTACTCATTGAAGCTCTCTGGGAGATGAGGACCAGTGGGTCTGTCCGAGATTCAGATAGAGCTGAGTACACAGGCCCCCTGACACCACCAGTGGGTGCGCAAAGCCTGGGCTGGAAACACACACCACACAGGACACTATGGATATTTTGTGGGGTTTGGGGGAGAATGGGCTCAGTGTGCCTAGTCTGGAGCAGAGAAGAAAGTGGTCGGATGGAGGTTTTTAATGACCACGGAGCATGTGGCAGGGGTGCAAGTCTTCCCCCCATACCCCAAAATCTGCACGATGCACAGTAAGGAGCACTCATCTCAGTGCTGAGTCGGATGCTGGATTTGGAAGCTCCAGCAGAGAGCCAGGAGAGGAGAACAAAAAAAGAGAGAGAGAGAGAGAGAAATGGAGAAAGAAAGCAAGGGAGAACCAAAGGAAAACGAAACAGAAAGAGAACAGACTCTGAGCACAAGAGAAAAACGGAGACAGAAAGGAAAACAGAGATGTGGCGAGAACTTGGGAGACACAGAAAAAGGCCAGTGAGACAAAGACGGAGAAGGCAGCATGATTCACCTCTGCCGGGAGCCTGAGCACCTCTCTCCTCTCCGGGTTCTTATTTCTTTCCAGCTCTGCCCTGCCAGAGCTCAAGCATCCTTTAAGCCCAGGCGGGCAGAGCCAAGTGCTGCCAGAAACTGCGGTTCCATTCGAAGTCTCTCATGGCCGAGCCTAGGAGACCAAGTGAGATTCACCCTGCCTGTTCCTGGTTGAGCTGGGCTCTAACCAGGCTCACTACTATGCTCTGTAGATGCCTGTCCTCTGACGAGCTAGAGCGTCAGGTAACAGCACCAACAAGCAGAAGTTGTCCGGGTTAGGGATTCCTTTTCCAGCGGGCTGGCTGGTGAGTCAATGCTCCACTCTGTAACCAGCACTCACCAATTCCCTGTCCCTAGCAAGATCACCTCCCCTAGATAACTGTGGGGGACAGTGCTAGACCTGAAGAGGAACGGGGACAAGTGGGCATTCCTGAGCCCCAACACAGGCGTCCACAAATCCTGTTATCTCAACCTCCGAATCCACAAAGGTAAGCGCTGCTAGGAGTACACACACAAACACAAATACAAACATAACCGCCCCCCCATCTCACACACACACACACACACACACAGCCTACAGGAGTTGCATAAACAAAAAACTACTGTTTGCACAAATACACACATTTGCAGGCACACACACAGCGACTGGCACACATAGCTCTTCAAAATTCTGCACTCACAGACAAAACCAACCCAGCTCAGTCTCCTATACACAGGGTCTCAAGTATGCACGCCCTCACCTACACACAAACACACACATTCAGGTTTTTAAAAGTACACCTTCACATCAATGCTTGCAAACACAGACACAAATGTGCTTACGTTAATGCACGCGTACACATGAAAACATCCTCACATTTTTGCGTCCTAAAATAAACATACACACATAGACACAGACCAACAAAAATAAAAGTGCACACGGTGATAAACACAAACATTAGCAGGACCATACACAATTACAAACACACGAATCTGCACACACAAAAACGCACACGCAGAAATGTACTCACAGGATTGATGGTACTAATGCAATAAACAGATGCAAAAATGGAATTCTCAAACAGCAAGTATACACGAACAAGCTCAGGAAATACACCCAAACAAACGTTCACAGCCAAGTGTTGGCACAAACCCCTCTAGCTCCAGCCCTTGGTCCCAGGCCCTACTCCCTCAGCCCCCTTTCCAGAAGCGAAACGAAAATCCTGGTTGCCCATTCCTGGCCTCCCCAACTTGGAGCCCTGGTGGCCACGCTGGCCCCGAGGGAGAGGAGGCCTGGTCCCTTCTCCTCCTCAGACCCACACACCCCCTCCTCACACACACCTGCCAGCACCACCCCGCTCCTTAACACACACACACACCCTCTCTGCTCACACTCTGGGCGCCCTGCCGAGCACGGAACACACGTGCGCCGCTTCTCCTGCGCCCAATGAGGGGACAAACTTGCACACCCAGCCCGCACGGCGTGAATGCAAACAGCGTTTTCATAGTCGCTGGTGTCCCCCGCCTCAGCCGTACGACCCACTCACCACAGTGCCCATAGGCTGACCTGGAATCTGGAAGGTGCAGCGAGGAAAGGAGAGACGTGGTGAGTGCCACCTCCGAGCTGTCTGCGGGAAGACCCGTCCACCCTCAATCTCCCCCTGTCCACATCTCCCTCAGAGCCCCGTGAGCAGCGTACTCAGGCCTGAAACTCTGGAGTTCGGGCCCAGGCCAGACGGCACCCCTCCTCCTCCCCCACCTCCCCACCCTGGGCCTGGGCCTGCGCTCGGCGGCCTGGCAGGAAAAACTACCCAGGTCGCGCGGCCTCCACTAGCTCTCTCCATGAGAAAGGCCCGGCTGGGCCCCAGCCCCGTGTATGACAAAAAAAAAGCCGGGGCCGGCTCCAGGAGCTCGGAAAACAGCGCTGACGCAGCTTCAGGGCGCAGACGGGGCGCGGGGGTGGGGGAATCCAATCTGGGCTGCCTGGGCTGGAGAAGGGGAGGTAGGTGTGGGGCGTGGGGCAACTTCTGCAAGTTCTAGGGATGGTAAAGGGGGCAGGGGTACCTCCCGGACTAGGCCTTGGAACCGGTGATCCCCAAATATTTGTGAGGAGAAAGAGAGAGGAAGAGAGACGCAGTTTTCGTATCGCGCGGCCCCCGCCCCGTCAGCCCCAAACTGGAAGGTAAATACTTACTTAGCCTCCGAACCAGGTACAAGCTAATACTCAACAATACTGATGCCTTGTTTTTTTTGCTCTGTCCGGACCGCAACGCTGTAGCCAATTTAGATATGCTATAAATTTAAGAGGTTGCCATGGCCACGGTGCGCCCATTGGCCGCTGGGCCCCCTACGTGCAGCGCCACGTCACCAAATCTGAATAAGGATGCGCGAATTACGCGGCGACCAGACAAAGATGAGGATCGGGACCGCTTGAAAGTGGGGGAAAGTGCCGGCGCCTCCGCCACCGGGGAAAGCTGCTCCGCAGCGCCGAGGCCAGCAGCCACCCGAGATACCTGGGGAAGCCCGGAACAGGCGCCGGGGCGTGCGGCCGGTGGCATGAGGTTGTGAACGCCACCCCCACCCCCACCATCCCACTCCCGGCAGCCCAGCGCCAGGCCAGCGATTGCCCAAGGACTTGATCGGTTGAGTCTTGGTCCGGACCGGACTCGCCCTGCAGCTGCTGAGACAAGAGGCGAAGGGCAGCGGAGGGCCCGGCAGGCCTGAGGGCCAGGGGCCCAAAGGGAGGGCAAGGCGGCTGAAGCCGCCGGGGCACGCGGCTATGATGGTGCACTGTGCCGGTTGCGAGCGGCCCATCCTCGACCGCTTTCTGCTGAACGTACTGGACCGCGCGTGGCACATCAAATGTGTTCAGTGCTGCGAGTGCAAAACCAATCTCTCGGAGAAGTGCTTCTCGCGCGAGGGCAAGCTCTACTGCAAAAATGACTTCTTCAGGTAAGAGGCCGCGCCGCGCTGCTGCCTGCCCGCCCACCGGGCGCGCGCTCCACTGGGGAGCTGGGGAAGGGGAGACCCCCATACCCATCCCAGCCTCCCCGGATCATAAGCTTAGATGGGGAGCGGGCAGCACTTTGCTCTCCTCTTGTCCTCGGTCCAGGAAAGGTCCCGAGCCCAGGCAGAGGAAGAAGGACGCTGCTTCGCTGCCTCACGTTGGCTCGAGGCCGGCTCAGAGCGCTGGCGGGGCAGAGGGAGGAAGCCCTGACAAACTTGCTCTCTATCCTTCTCCGCCCCTTCCAAGCGGCTGCAACCCCAAGACAGAAGCTTCAATCCGTGTCCCGAGAGAGAGGAAAGATTTTTGCCTGAGTTAGAGACGCCTGGAGGCTTCTCGCTCCAGGCAGAAAGTGTGAGCCCATGGACCCGCAATCCCAAACAGAAACTTCTCAGCTCCGGAGGGGGCCCGGCGAGGAAGGTCTCCCCTGGTGATGGGAGGAGAGAACCTCCCCACCCCCATCACGTCCCAACCCCTTAAACATTTCCTCCCATGTTGAAAAGCAGAAACGAAATCGAGGCTGAGAATCAGGACCTCTGGGGTCTAGACTGGGCTGTGGCACCTTCCCAGCACCCCCACCCCTGTGGGCCCCCTGGCTGGCCAGGGCAGATCACGTCTCTGGGCCTCAGTTTCCCCAGTCTGGAAGCTAGTAGAATTTGGGGCAGCTGAGCCCTGCCTGTTTCCCCTGGGCACCCAGAGCCGGCTTTGTGAACAGGAATTCCCCGCGCTGAGGAAGGGGGGCGTGAATCACACCATAGAGAAAGGCAGCCTGCTGGCCCCAGCGACTTCGCACTGGGAATTTGAATAGGAGAAAATGTCAGCCGCTCCTTTACACGTGTAAACTCCCTGGACCCGGAGGCCCGATGCCCCTAATGTAGCAGTGCTTGCAAAGCGCCTAATGATTTTTGATAAGGTGCATATGGCCAATTACGCTGCCGGATAAGGCCAAAAGTGACTTATGGCTTCTAATGCCCTCACTACATCAATGTCACCCAAATTCACCCTGTTTAGAGACATGGGTGTGAGTAGATGCAGGGTCCCCAGAGTCCTGGGTCCTCCCCCATCCCACCCCCAACCTGAGCCTCACCCATCTCCCATTTCGGGAGAGGCTGACTTTCTCCCTGAGCTCAAAGAAGAAAGAAAAGGAATGAGATCAGGAACGCGGGAAAGGGGGGATTTGAGAGATTCCTCTCCTGGCCTTGCAGGGTCTATGATTGTCCTGCATTCACATTCCCCTGCTGTCTGCCAGGCCAGAGGTTTAGGGGGGCTGAAATTCATCCCTGCTCTCTAGGGTCCCTCACTATGAGGCCCTGCTGTCCACAGCTCCTGATTAGCTCCAGCGGGTCCCAGAGCGGTAGATTGGAAAGCCTCTCCATTGGTACTGGAAATCAGTGGAAGGTTCCCTCCTTTCTGCTTCCTCCTTCCAGCCTAGGAGAAAGGCTCTCCGCCTCAGGGCTAGGCTCAGCCAGCCAGGCAGATTGGCCCTAGCTAGACACCAGCACACTAGAAAGGATCCAGGAGGCAAAGCCACCAAGTGGCCCAAACTCTCCCCACCTGGCTTCAAATCATTCATGGACTCTGAGTTTGCCTGGAGCAGCCCAGGCAGGCCTGGCAGGGGTTGGATTTGGAGAAGGACATCTTGGGGTGCTCTGGGCTCTCTTCTTGGCTGAAGGCTGCACCCACTGCTCACCCCTTCCCAGCTCAGGAGAATCTCAAAAACCCCAGTGGAGGCATGGCAGTCCCAGTCCCAAAAACAGCTCAGAACATTTGTCCCAGTCTCCTGCTCTGGCCAGAGCACTCAGGATTGGGGTTCCTTTTGACAGATATGGAAAAGGGGACTTCACAGAAGCCAGGTCGGGTGGGAAGAGGTCAGGGACTGGGAAGGACTGGATACAGTCCCACCCCGCAGTGATGGGCACCTTGTGTCCACAGGCGCTTTGGCACCAAATGCGCTGGCTGCGCGCAAGGCATCTCGCCCAGCGACCTGGTGCGCAAGGCCCGGAGCAAAGTCTTTCACCTCAACTGTTTCACCTGCATGGTGTGTAACAAGCAGCTGTCCACCGGCGAGGAGCTCTACGTCATCGACGAGAACAAGTTCGTGTGCAAAGACGACTACCTGAGCTCATCCAGCCTCAAGGAGGGCAGCCTCAACTCAGGTATGAAGCCCGGGCCCCTCACTAGCCTTAGGCCTTAGCACCCTCCCACCGTGCCCAGCCTGGCACTCCCTACTTGGCCCCCGGTGTGCTGTCTGTGCTAAGCTTGGAGCTCATCAGCCCCAGGTAGTTCTAGGGCAAGGCAAGGGGGTTAGAGGCTAGAGAAGAGAAGTGGCTTTGGAGCAGTTTTACAGGAGATCTGAGAGCTGCCAGATCTTCCCCACCCTCCTTCAATTCAGGAGCATTTTCCAAGTTGCCCTCCTCCCCTAATTTGGAAGCGCACAATTCCCCCTTGTGTCATTTGAGCTCCAGGTAATTTCTAGATGCACTGGGAGGACATTAATTGAGGTCTGGAGAGAGGAGGGAAGTGAGAGGAAGATCCAAGCCCCAAGGGAATCTATACCCTCCTCATCCCCTCTCCTTGAAGGTGGGAGTTCTCCAGAGGGTACGCCTCCCCCTACCCTTACCCAGGTACTAGCTGAGACGCGCGGAGAGGGCTTAAGAAGCGCCCATCCAAAGGCCCAGCCCCTCCTGGAGAGAGTGGGCGGGCACCGGGTCCCTGGGGGAGGGGCTGTCGCAGGTTTGGGAGGGAATCCAGAGGGACTGGCCGTAGCCTGGGCCGGCGTGAACCCGCCACTGGATTGAAGAGGCGTCTGGTCGTCGCTGACGCCGCTGTCCCCTTCCCGATCCGTCCGCCCGCAGTATCATCCTGTACGGACCGCAGTTTGTCCCCGGACCTCCAGGACGCACTGCAGGACGACCCCAAGGAGACGGACAACTCGACCTCGTCGGACAAGGAGACGGCCAACAACGAGAACGAGGAGCAGAACTCGGGCACCAAGCGGCGCGGCCCGCGCACCACCATAAAGGCCAAGCAGCTGGAGACGCTCAAGGCTGCCTTCGCCGCCACGCCCAAGCCCACGCGCCACATCCGCGAGCAGCTGGCGCAGGAGACCGGCCTCAACATGCGCGTCATCCAGGTGCGGTCCGGGGCGGGCACAGCTCCTTAGCCCCGCAGGCCCGGGAGCCGGGAGCCTCGGAGGAGTCTCCCGCCAAGCTTCCTTGGCTACGAGCGCGCCTGGTTCTGGTCTGGGAGCAGACTGTAAGCCCGATTAGGGCACTCGCCCGAGGTCAGGGACTGTGAGCCGAAAGACTCCATGTAGCCCTGCTGTCTTCCTGGTGGTGCGATTTGGGGCCAGGTCACTTTACCTCTCTGAATTCCGCCCCCCACCTCGCTCAAGGAAGGTTGTAAGCCTCTCTGGAGTCCGGGATCCCCCTTTAACTCCCACCTTTCGAGCAGAGAAAGAGGCGATGCCCCCTCCCTCCCTGCGCCGAAGCGCGGGCAGACAAACCGCCAGAGGCTGGCTCCGGAGCCGAGGGGCCGAGGCGAGAGTCGTGCGGAAGGGAGGCCTTTATAGAGCCGTCAGGCCGCGGGCGAGCCGAGGACCAGGAAGCCCAAGTCTTTATGAGTCGCCCCACGGGTCCGCGAAATCCTTCACCCTTGGCTGGTTCGCCAAAGCCCCTCTCCACCCCTCCCGGCCTAATCCGTCCCGGCCCCGCCTCGAGGGAGTCCTGGTGCGGAAGAGGCGCAAGGACCCAGCGGGGACAGCCCAGGCAGGGAAGGGAGGAGAAGGGAGGAGAGGGGAGGAGAGGACACTCTGATCCCTAGCTCACAGCCCCCTCCTCTGTCCCAGGTGTGGTTTCAGAACCGACGGTCCAAAGAACGCCGGATGAAACAGTTGAGCGCCCTGGGCGCCCGGAGGCACGCCTTCTTCCGGAGTCCGCGGCGCATGCGTCCGCTGGGCGGCCGCTTGGACGAGTCTGAGATGTTGGGGTCCACCCCGTACACCTATTATGGAGGTAAGGGGCGCCCCGGGGTTCGCTGCTCCGTACCTGCCCTGTTCTGGGAACTGAGGGCAAAGGGTCCTGGCCAGCGCGCTTTCCGCCGCAGGACATCACCCACTCTCTGGACACACAATCACGGACACATGTACACTCACCCACATCTCCTGGACACAAAATCAGACACATGGTCTCACACAGTGATGCACACAGAAGCACACGCGAGATGCAGTGACACACTCACCCTCACCCACGCAGGGCACAAGGTGCACTCACACTTGTGTTCACTCCAGGAACACTTATCTAGACACGATCGCACGATCACGTACAGATAAATTCTACCCTCTCACACACAGGTACACTCACGGAGACACAACCCCACATAGGCACACACTCCCACCAGTCACACTGAGGCCAGCACTGGTAAATCCGCTTGCATGCCGCCCCCAGGGACAGACACACAGCCTTCCCGCCGCTGTGCCTGGTGTACTTGGTATGAAGTGGATTCTGAGCGCTGGAGGGTAGTGTCAGGGGAGGGGATGGGGGTCTGGATTCATTCCAGGCTGCCTACTCACTAGCGTCGAAGGCAGCAACTCCTGTTCCGTGTGGCGGGGTGTGTGTGCACAGTATCTGGCAGTGTTAGCCCAAATGCCGGCAGTAGATCTGGGCAGGACTATAGCCTACCCTCCAGTCCCAAGCCCCCTGGGGTTCCTACAGACTAGGGGCACAAGGGTTGGGTCAACCCCAGATTTCCACCGTCTTTGGGGCTGCAGAGAGGGAGGAGCCCCAGTTTACAAAGGCCTTCAGATGGTGGTACCAGGCTTGGGCTCAGGGTGAGCTGTCCCCTTGTCACCGCAGCTTTTCCTTCTCTCGCTTCCCTCACACTGGATTGGTGAACCATCCCTCATTGCTTGAGCTCACCGAGCTCACCGTCCAGTTCTTCCCAGGGCTGAAGGCTTAAGAAAGCACCTCTCCTCTTCTGTTCTGAAGCTTCTGAATTTGGAGAGACCCCAGGGCTGCCTATATCTGAGAGGCATCTGCACTTCTGAGTCTTAGCGCAGGTTAAGGAGAGGCAATTTCTCTTAGAAAGTGGGTTCAGTGGCAGTGTTGGGAAGGCAGGAGCTAGGCACCCAGGTAGACCCAGAAGGTAAGGGAAGATAACCCCATCACTAACGTCAGTACATCCGGAAGCCTGAGGGGGGATTAGACCCGACCAGGGCCCCTAGAAATTGTGGGCAAAATGCCAGGCTCTGCTTTCTTTCAGGGCAGAGACCCCACGCAGTGGCAGGGCTCAGGCTGGAGCGCCACAGCCGCCCAACCCTGGACAGCCCCCCAACGCTGGACAGCCCCCATCCCTGGACAGCCCCCAACCCTGGACAGCCCCCCAACCCTGGACAGCCCCCCAACCCTGGACAGTCTGGATGGTGGGCGTGTCTTCCGGGGTCTCCACTCACCGACTGTCTCCACCTAAATTTGCCTCTTTCCCTACAAAATCTGGGCCCAGAGCAGCGAGGTAGTGGGGGAGGTACCGGCCCGGAATTTTTCCCCGCCTGGGTAATTAACCAAGGTTTCCCCGAGGACCAGTTCGCCCCCGCCCCGACCTATCCAACAGCCTCCTCTCCCTGCGTGCTGGATGGGGTGGGGAGCTGGACACGGGGGCCCCTCATTCCGCGGAATGGTGGGGAGGACTCCCCAGCCCCCAGCGAGGCAGCCCCGCCTAATCCGCGCTGGGAGATCCCGGCGGCGGAGACCGGCAGCGGGCGAGAAAGGGGCCGGGCGGCGGGGACGGCGGCTCCCCGTGGGAGCTCGGACAAAGCCCCAGCTGCGGCTTTTGTGCCCTTTTCAGACGGCGTTTGTTCCAATTACCTCCGGCCCGGCCGCCATATGGGCGGAGGCGGCGCGCACGGCGCCGGGGCAGCGGCCCTCGCTGGTTTTCCGGCTCGCTGCGGGCCACGGCCGTCTCCCATCCCTGTCCCTTTGGGGCTCCAAATTCGCCGCTCCCCATCTTCCCCTTCACTTTCGGGGAGAATTAAATTAATGGTTTTAAAAAGTAATTGGCAACCGTTTTAGCTGTTGCTTAAACTGCCTCCTAGCCACGCCTCCAGACACCCCCTATTTGGACAGATTTCAGGGTTTGGAGACGCAAGAGGATGGCAGGGGGCCTTAGATCCCAGGACTCGGCAAGGGGAGTGGATTTGCAGAAGAGACTCAGGCTTCTGGGCGCGCTGGTTTTCCCGCCGTACAAAGCGGGTGCCTGGTACAAGGTGGTCCTTTCGTGAGGTCCCCCACGTCAGTCCTTCAGGGCCCCACCTGGTGGGGGAAGGCAGGATATCCCGAAGGTTCTGGAAAAGGGGCTATGTGAGGAGGTCAGAGGGTTGATGTAGATTTGTTGAGGCAGAATGGGTTTGTAATCCAGAGTCCCTGCACCTCCTGAATTTGTGGGCAAAATTCGCATCTTTGCATTTTCCTCGAGAGAGAGAGCCCATAGCTATCACCAGCTTCTCAAAAGGTCTCAGTGTCAGATGCTTCAGAACCTGGAGGTCCTGGCAAAACCAACCTGGGGCAAGGCTGGAGGACCGAGCTTCTACCCCAAGGCACCGGCGGAGCTCTGGGCATGACCCACAGCATCTTCGTGTCCTCCCCCTCTCCCAAGTCGCTGGAGCTCAGTTTTCTCTGTCTCAGGCTAAGTGAGGCCGGTACAAACGGTCTCACCGGGATCGACGAGGGGGCAGTACTTGGCGAGGCAAAGGACTTGGACTGGGTTGGTGGGGCGCAGGGACCCAATTTAGGGCTCCAAGGTCTTCCCGCCCGGCCCAACCCACCAGTCCCTCTGAGCTCCGACCGCGGCCCTGATCCATTTCGCGCTCTGCTCTGTCCGCTGGTTGGTCTCTGCCAGGTTCCTCTCCCCAGGCCTGTCAGCCTCCGCTTCTCTGGAGGTTCCTGGGACTCATCTCTGATCCACCGTCTTGCGTTCTCTGGGCGCATCGACTTCTCTCCATCTTCAGGCTCACTCCTGACCCTTGCTGCGGTCCCCGGGGTTTCCATGCGTGTCTCTCACCTCGGCCGTCTCACCTCTCTCTGCGTCTTCTCGACTCCTCCGCGACCCTCCGGTGTCTGTGGCTGTGGGGTCTCAGCCGCAGACTCTGCGTCTCTGGGTCTCTTTTCCGCCTTTCTCTCTGCCCCTCTGCGGATCTCTCCGTCTGTCCCTCGCTGTCCCGCATCTCTGTGTCTCTCACCGACTCTAAGACACTCAGGAATCGTTCTGTATCTCTGTGTCTCTGGCCGCCGCTGTTTCTCTCCATCTCTAGGTGTCAGGGAACCCGTGAATTTGAAGCCTCCGAGTTTTTGCCGCGTGTGTCTCCCACGATATCGGAGTCTCTCCCGTCTCTGTGTCTAGTCTCTGGCAGTCTGAGTCTCTTGCCCTTTCGAGATCTCTCATTGTCTCTCTCCCCAACCTTCCCCGTGGGTCTGCGACGTCCACTGTCCCTAGGGGCGCCGGCCTCCGCAGGTCTCTCTAACCTCGGTCGGTGTCGCGCGCTCTCCTCTCTGGCCCTCTCGGGTCCCCTCCGCCTTCTTCACCTTCTCTCACCGCGCCCTGTCTCCTTCCCGCTTACCCCCCGCAGACTACCAAGGTGACTACTATGCTCCGGGAAGCAACTACGACTTCTTCGCTCACGGCCCGCCTTCGCAGGCGCAGTCCCCGGCCGACTCCAGCTTCCTGGCGGCCTCGGGCCCCGGCTCTACGCCGCTGGGCGCGCTGGAGCCGCCGCTCGCTGGCCCGCACGCCGCAGACAACCCCAGGTTCACCGACATGATCTCGCACCCGGACACGCCGAGCCCCGAGCCGGGCCTGCCGGGCGCGCTGCACCCCATGCCCGGCGAGGTGTTCAGCGGCGGGCCCAGCCCGCCCTTCCCCATGAGCGGCACCAGCGGCTATAGCGGACCCCTGTCGCATCCCAACCCGGAGCTCAACGAGGCCGCCGTGTGGTAAGGCCGCCGGGCCGCCCCCCGCGCTCGGTCCCCGGGGGCCCCGCCCCGAAGCAACCTCCTGAAACCAAAACGCCCGACGCGGACACGGTGGGAGATGTGGGTATTCCTCGGGGGTTCTCTCTCGGGTCCGCACTCAACTGGCAGCTGCTCCTCGGCTGGACGCCGAGGGGGGCCGACCCCCATCTCCACTTCACGGGCTCTCCAGGGGCCTCAGCCCACCGCCAGCACTCTCCCGGCAACCGCGAGCAATTTCTTGGGACCAAAGTCAATACTCCGGAGGGTCAAGAGATTTTGAGCACGCTCTAGACTTTCCCGGGGCCCCCACCCACCCACTCAGCCACCGCCACCTTTTTGGACTGAGAGAGGGTGAGGCCAAGAGGCGGAGACGGTGTTATTCCCTCTCTCTGCAATCCGAGGGGCATTTTGTAACCTTATTTCTCGCTGTGCTTTCCCCGTCTTAAAAAAAAAAAAAAAAAAAAAAAGATAAGAAAAGGAGGAGAGAGATTGAAAGAGGGAGAGGAAAGGGGACAAGATGAGGAAGAGAGAGATGGAGAGAGCGTCAGCCAGAGGGAGAAGACGGAGAGCGAGCGAGGAACTCGTGTGAACCGGGAGCCACCGGAAGGGAGACCGAGCCACCTGCACGCTGGCGCTCCCTGGTGGCCAATCTTGAGACTCAAGGTCAGCTTCTTTAGGAAGGGGGCTGTGGGTCAGGACGTGGCCAGCCAGGTCCACCTCCCGATCTTCCTTACTTTGACGTTTATGTTGAGCCCGAGGGTGCAGGCCGGACTCGAACACGCGCACATCCTGCTCTCCCCCTGGGTGAGGCGCCAGGGTTGCTGGGCTCAGACCCACAGACCACCCTCCCTGCCCGGGGCCTGGAGGCTGGGCCGTCAGGATGTACAATATAATACTTTTTTGGAAGTTGAACGCTTCTAGTTTCCTTATTTTGTATAAAGAAGAAACAAATAAAGTATGTTTTTGTGTTTACTGTTTATTTATTGTACTCTAGTTATCCGGGGTTGGACATTTTTATATTTTTAAGAGGAGGTAGGGCAGAGTGAGGGAGGGGAAGCAGAAAGAGGTTTACCTAAAAAAAAAAAACAAAAAAACAAAAAAATCAACTTTTTTTAAAAAGAAAGATTAATAAAAAGAAAAAATGTTTTTTCCCTCAGCGCTGTGTGGTTTTCTTTTTTTGTCCCTACCTTGATAATGACTCAGAGGTAATGAAACCATTCCTTTCCCTGGTTCTGTCTCTGACATTAAACCCTTGATGGATGCAAAAACTTCTGCTCACCCAAAGGGGGAGCTCTTCTAGTGACTCCTAGGTTCATGAAAGGGGCTGTCCTCTTTTGACAGCTACTATGTGCCAGGCACCGTATCTCCCCATGCTTTATGTAGTACCCTGCTCTAACACAGGCCTGCCCAGCATACAGTAGGACTTCAGAATGTTTGATGAATGAATGACTGTGTGATTTGTTTGTTGCCAGCACATCAGAAGAATTACAACTTCACTCCTAACTATTCCCGGGTGTAATTTCTGGTGGCCCAAAAAAAGAGTAGGCTGGTAAGCTGATGCTGGTTGTCTGTAAGGCTATGTTAGGACTGAAGTGCCCCTCCTCCCCAAAGTGAGGCTGTTGTGCTCTGCAAATCTTGTGCAGTGCATGCTTGTCTTTAGATAAAGGCATGAGGGAAAGAGTGTCCAGTGAGATTTAGGAGGCCTAAGGCCACTACCTAAAACAAGTCACTCTCCTTCGACTCAGTTTCCCTACTTGCAAAAGCAGGAGTTGGAGAGAGTTCTTTCTACATTCCCTTCCAACTCAAACGTCTGTAATCTCAGCACTTTGGGAAGCCCAGGTGGGTGGATCGCCAGAGATCAGGAGTTCAAGACCAAGAAACCCTGTCTCTACTAAAAGTACAAAAATTATCCAGGTGTGGTGGCGGGCGCCTGTAATCCCAGCTACTTGGGAGGCTGAGGCAGGAGAATCGCCTGAACCCAGGAGGCAGAGGTTGCAGTAAGCTGGTATTGCATCACTGCACTCCAGCCTGGGTGACAGAGCAAGACTCTGTCTCAAAAAAAAAAAAAAAAAAAAAAGAGAGAAAAAGAAAAAGAAAAGCAGGAGAAAGAGGTAAAAATAAATAGAAGAGTGTCCTGCATTGGGATCACTTTTCACCCGAGCTTGGGGTGAGGGAAACTGGCCCACTGTAGCTGCAGCAGCGGAAGGTGGGGAGCAGACCACCATGGGACAGGCGCATGCTCAGAGCCCCACTGTTCTGCCCTTCTTCTTTATGTGTTCCTCACAAGAATCATACAAGGTGGCTCGCCTTTTTCTTTTCTTTCCTTAGAGCGCATTTGTCTTTATCAGACCAATGCTACTTACTTGTGGAAAATTTAGAAATCTCAGATAAACAAAAGGAAGAAAATGTCACCACCCAGAATCCCAAGCACTATAGAAATGTAGTTGATGCATTTTCTTTTGGATGTTTTTCTTTTCTTGTTTTTTTTTTTGTTTTGTTTTGTTTTTTGTTGTTGTTGTTGTTTTTCCATTTTGAAACTTGAGATCATACCCTATACTCAATATGCGGTCATCTGCTCTGGTTCACTCAGCAATAGCTTCCAGATGTATAAACTGATCTTCAGAGACAGAGCTATGTCATTCTGTGTAGTCACTGCTTAAAGTTCTCTTCAACGGCTGAGCCATCCTTCTATAGTTTTTGTTTTATTTTTAACCAATTCTATTGTTGGATATTTGGGTTTGTTTCCAGTGTTTCACCACTTTAAACCACATCAGAATATCCTTGCAGCTGAATCCTTGGACATGTATCAGGGTAGGTATTATTGGACCCCTCAGGGTACTCAGAGAGGCTGAGGGACTGGCCTAAGGTCACACAGCTGGGAAGTGGCAAAGCTGAGATTCAAACCCACGTATTGGTTGTGTTTCTACTTCTCTATGGTGCCCTAATTGTAATGGATTCTAGAGGCCAAGAGAGAATTTGCAAGGTGGACCTCATCTCTGGCTAGGGGGAGGAGAGGACTCACCCCTTCCTCAAACAGGGTTGTGACAGGGAGATAGAGGTCAGGGAGAGAGGGGAGGGGAGGAGGTGTGAAAGAGAGAAAGAAAAGGGGAGGGAGGCAGGAGAAAAAGAAGGAATAAGGAAGCAAAGAAGAGGAAGAGAAGGAAGAAAGGTTAAGAGGAGGGAAAGGGGAGATTAAAGCTGTAGGAGGAAGAGCCCCCATAGGTGTTCCAAGTCACATACTCATGCTCCATGCTCATGCTCCATGGTGTCCGGGGACCTCCAGCCCCTACCCAGATAGGACACTTAGACCCAGAGGTGTCCATCAGTGAAGGTAGCAGAGTGAGGCTGCAGGATGAGAAGCCACAGTAGAACCAAGCCCTCTGCCCCTTCCTCCAGGTACAGGCACACACATACACACAAACATGCACCAGACAGACACGTACGGGCCCACACAATGCATACTTACACATGAAAATACATGTACACAACCAAAACACAAGGATATACAGATGCATGTTCACAGGCATATGGATACACACACACACACACACACACACACAAAGCAGCCACATGGACACACAGCTGTGCATGCACACAGAGACACAAATACAAGGGCACAATGGTAGGTGCACACATCTACATACACGTGCACACACATGTACATTAACAGATACCCACAGGCTTGTGTACACAAATGCACACACCTACAATATGTCTAACCCCTGTGGACACACACAAACCCACACACCATGTCCTTGCACACATGCTAACACACATGTACATAGGATATATACCTGCCCCTTGAATACTCACAGCTTCAGTCTGGGAGAACTGGGAGAGGAAGAGGCCCCCTTTTAGTGTCAGGAGACTTAAATAACCCTGGGGTGGCCCATCAAGATCTCCGAGGGTGGCTCCAGAAGCCAGGTTCCAGGAGGGGTGCCATGATTTCTGCATGATCAGTACTTGTGGACACACTCCCCATCGTTCCTTCCTCGAGTATTCACACAAGTGAAGAGGGTTGGCAGCCTAGGTTACCTGGGAATGGGATGGAGGCAGAACAGAGCAGGGGCTCTGGGATCCAGGACACTACCTGACTGAGGAACTGGAAGTTGCTCACTATGTCACCTTTCTGGTTACTATGTCCCCTTTCTGGGCCTCAGTGTGCTCGTCTGTGAAATGGACTCACAACATCATTTCCTACACCGGGTGTGGTGACGATGGAAAAGAAGTGACTCAGCCTGTGGCCAAGGTTCAGGAAATCTAGGGCCTGGGTGACATCCCCATTTCCGTGTCTCTCTCTCTCTCTCTCTCTCTCTCTCTCTCTCCCCCCCCCCCCCCCCCCCCCCCCCCTCTCTCTCTCTCTCTCTCTCTCTCTCTCTCACACACACACACACACACACACACATGCCAGCTTCCATGGAGGGTAGCAAGAGGAGAGAGAGGGCCTGATTCACACCAAATTCACTCCCACTCCTGTGCGCTCATTTTAATTCCCCAAGTGCTTACTGGGCCCAGGGGCTCCAGGAGGAGACATTCTCCCACCCCGAGCCTGGCACAGTGTCCCTGCAGGTGCACAGCCATGATACCGGGTGCACATCGTTAAGGAGGCAGTTCCTGAGAAAGGCTAGATGGGGAAGGGGAGCAGTTGGGAAGGGACATTTGTCCTTCAGCATCCACAACCGTTTTCTCAAAGTATGATCGGAGGACAATGCTTGCTACAAATCGTAGCCCTGGGTCCCCCCACTAATGGCTGGAATTGTCCTCTGGAGTGGGGCCCAAGATGCTTCACATTTAGCTCCCCAAGAGATTCTGGCACCTCCCAAACATGCAGGACCAGTGCTCAACGTGATGCCACCTGTCTCCAAACCCATTGGCCAGCCTCTCATTCAATCCTCACAATGTCCCTTCGAGATTAACTTTGTTCTTCCCACTTTGCAGATGGAGAGACTGAGGCCCAAGAGGTGAAGTGAGCTGACCAAAGTCACACAGCCAGCGAGTAGCAGAGCCAGGTTTTGAATCGAGAACTTTTGCTGCAAGAGCCCACATTATCCCTGGACCCAGGACAGAGCCCAGTGCAGAGTCTAGTAACTACATGAATGACTGAATGAAAGAATGAATGAATTAATACAATCCAGCTGCTATAAAAAGGGATTCTTTAAAAAAGGGCTTAATGAATACTAGTTCTTACTGATAGCAACCTCACAGGCTTTTGCTTAAAACCCCCTCCCAGGTTAAACAAAGCTAGCCAGAAGAGCAGAGGTCTTCGTGATCATTGCCAAGGTCAGAAGACATAAGGACGTCTGGTTTCTCCATGTTCGCCCTCCTCCCTTTCCTCCTCCATTAATGTATCTGCTCATCTCCTTCTATCTTCATCGCCTGTATTTATTATCTCTTAAAAATAAAAGGTTTCTGAGAGAAAAAAAACATCCCAGGGCATACAGGTAAAGAGGCAAGCCAGGCTCTCCTGCCAGTGCCCTCCAGCACTGGAAAAAGGGGGACCTTGCCTATCCCCTTGCTGCCCCTAGGCTATAATTCTGGCCAACACCAGACAGTTAAACCACATGTACTCCAACCCCGTCATGCATGCTCTCCTCCTGTCCCTGTCCCTGTCTGTCCCTGTCCTCCTGCCCCGAGATATACACCCCACAGAGCACAGGGCTGACCCACTGTGCTTAGGACTAATATTTAAAATGCAGAATGGCTGTGGAGGGTGCCTACTTCCAAGCCTTGTCGTGCAGTAAAAAGATATAAACAGAATAAATTACCTCTCCAGCTTGGATTATGAGACTACCCTTCTCCTGACCGGAATTTTAAGTCCTGCCTCCCTCGTAGTGCTGCACACGGCTGATTTATGGAAACTCGAGCACCTCTCTGCATATTTCTTCTGTTCAGCCAAGTGACCAAGTTTACCCTTCCTATGCCATTAGCGTTATTAACACCTGGGTAACCGATCATTGCAAATGGGCCATTTCTGTGATGAACGGAAGCCTCTCCAGCCGCTTCTCCAGGCCAGCACCACCTCTGGCTTCCTCTTTCTGAATTTTGTGCCAGAGCTCAGAACCATCCTCACCTTCCCCTGCCCCCAG